TTCAATGTATAGAAAAAAATACTATAAATTATTTATCTCAATCACTGCTATCAAAATGTTTTATTGCAAACATGTGAAAATAATTTAATTTTTTATTATTATTATTATTATTATTATTATTATTACTACTACTAATTAATTAATTAATTATTAGTCTAACTATAATTAATCAATAAACTGGTTACTTTTAATTATATATAATTTTGTGTATAAATTATATTTTGTTTACTATTCAAAAAAAAAAATTTCTATTAAAAAAAATTATCATAAATTATTTTTATAAATTTTTTTTATTAATATTTTTTGTTGTTGTTATCAGTATTTACTTAAAACATTTCATTTTTTGTAATCTATTTATTTTTAGGTTATTAACAAAATTAGCAATTTTTTTTTAATAATTTTTTTGTTTTTATAATCATGTTTATTTAATATTATGTCTAACATTTTTTTGTGTAAATAATTATTAATGTTAATAACAGTTAGTGCAATTAAATTATAAGTTTATTACAAGTTTAATAATCTATGCTATTATACTATATATATATATATATACTGTACTTATTATATAATATATACATCACATTGCAATTATATATACTTATTATATAATATATATTAAATATTATTATTATTACTATTATTATTATTATACAAAATTACATTATCTAACATTGTCTTAATCTAATAATATTTTATTAAAATATTTAACACCTCCCGGTTATTGAAAAATTGTTTCCCAGATATTAATAATTCATATATACTGTATATATATAATGTATATTTATTTATATTTTATTTAAGCTACCCTCCCTCACTCCCTTTCCCCCCCAACAACAGTGCAGCTAAATTTAGATTTTATTATTATTATTATTATTATATATTTTATTTGTTTGTTAATTACTTTGGATTAAAATAATTATTAGATATCCCAGGTATACCACCTATAATTTGTATTGAATATAATTGTAGAAATAAATACAATTGCAAAATTGTTCTAGGTAAATTAATAATTACTGTACAATAATACTATTCAGTAAATTAAATTTATATATTTAATATAATTAATTTTTTTTAAATAAAATAAATATACTGTACTGTAATTATCATTGCAATTACATTCAGACAAACATATTATTGTGATTTAATTTTGTATATTATTTGAAAAAAAAATAAAATTTATAACTCATATAAAATTATTTTATTTATAAAAATTTATATATTGTATAATTTAAATATTATAACATTATATTTGCAAACTTGTGTGAAAATAATTTATTAACATTTATTATATTTTTATAATACATGAATAATATTATTAGTAATAGTAATAATAATAATAATAGTATTAATAATACTGTTTACAGAAACATTTAATGAAAATATCAGTAAATAACTAATAAATTATAAATTCATATTAAATATAAATCTTTTTTTTTTAAAAATAATAATTAAAATTAAAAAATAGTAGAATTATTATTATTATTATTATTATCATAAATTACTTTTAAACTTATTATTAGTACTGAATTTTATTAAAAACAATTTATTATATAGTATTTTAAATATTTTGTTGCAATTTTTATTTTATTTTTATTTTATCATACATTGAATAATAAATCAGTGATAAATAGTTGGCATTAAATTGTTGTTTGACATTTGTGTACTACATGTTTGATAAAAATAAAAAACTAACTAACATTATGTTAACATAATTACTATTACAATACAATTACATGTTTTTTTATATTAAAAAAATGTAATGTTTGCAAAAAAAAACATTTATAATTTTTTATGTAATATTATATATATATATTAAATATTGTGTGCTCAACACGTGAACAGATAACAAATATACAGTTTATATATATTGATATATATATACAGGGTTAGGCATATAAGGCGCAAAAATATAAAAATTCATTATAAAAAAACTACATGAATTAAAAATCTGAAATAAATTTTATAATGTGAGAAAAAGACTAAAGTTTTGGTTAAAAATAATTTTAAAAATTAATAAAATAATATAAAGTACAAATTTATATTTTTAAAGATATGCATATTTTCATCTATATATTAAATAATGAAAATATCAAATTTTCAATATTTTTTCAATAAAATCTTAATTTCTCAGACCTAATTTAATAATATAAATTTTTAAAATTTTAAAAAATTCATTAAATTATTGTAAACTTACATTTTACATTATTCATGGTTTTATATGTTTTTAAGTTTCATAAAAATCTAATTTTTATTTATTTTATTAAAAATCACTTTTATAAACATATGACATTAAATATAATTTAAATAGATTATTTTTCAAATTTTAAAACACAAATTAATAAACTTGTGTTATTTGTGAAAATGGTTTTTTTATTATTTAAATTTATTTTATCTTTATATTATTTTTTTAATAATTATTATTTAAAATATTATTTAGAATACTAAAAAGAATTTTTTTTGAAATTTTCATTTAATTTGCTAGTCAAATATTTGATTTAAACTAATATTTATTTTAAATTTAATTCCTATTTTCTATAACTTTAAAATATTTTTAATTAGTCCAAAGTTTTAATTTATGTTCTTTTAATTGTATTGAATAATATTCAATCGAAAATTAAATATTTATAATCGTAAAAATAAAAATAGAGTAGTTTTTAAAATTTTAAATTTTTTTATCCGTTATAAATCTTCATATTTTTTTAAAAAATTATAATTAATTAAAATTAACTTAATTAGTAAAATTTGACTTGTGCTTGCTGTAATTCAACATAAACTTAAGTTGATTTTTGTTAAAGATTTACATGATAATCTTAGTTTTACTAATATTGTAGTCAGTTTTTCCACAGAGGGTATATTAAAATAAAAACACTATCATAAAAATTTTAAATTATTTTTATAAAAATATATACATAATTGATAAAAATAAATATGAAAATGACAGAGATATAGCGTTATTCTATTTTGCGGCATATATGCCTAACTCTGTATGTAATTATTAAAAAAATATTGTAATAATTATTATCATTTGTACTCAAGCTAGCATTGCCAAATAATATTTATTTGCCAAAAAAATACATATAAATATATAAATTTTATAACTATCGCAATAATTTCAAAAAAAAAATATTATACTGTATATAATGTATAATAATTTAAGTACAGTTTTTTAAATATACAGTAAAATACTACCTGTGCTTTCAATTAGGTCTATCAAATGTCTATCTATACCGTACATACCATACCCACTATGAGTACAAACCCACTAAAATTTATTACTCTCTTTCTCTCTTATTGGATATCAAATGGGGTATGAATTTTATACTATACTGTATATATATATTTATATATAATATAAAATTTATATTGCATTTTATGAGTTATTTTCCATCCCATTTAAATAAACATTATTTGATAAAAATAAACATTTGTATTATATTTTATTGTTGTAAATGTTGTAATCAAACATTTATTAATAATTGATAATAATAATAATAATTAAATATTTATATAAAAAAAAGTTATTAACTTTTTAACTTATAATAGGTACATATTTTGCAGTTAACATTTTTTAATAAAAAAAATTTAATTAATTAATTATAATGCATATCAATGTGAGATAACAAATTAATAGTTAAATATATAAATTTATATATAAAAAAAAGTCTACATATCTATGAAGTAATATATGATAATAATATTTTTTATTATATTATATCATATCTCTCTCTCTCTCTCTCTCTCTCTCTCTCTCTCTCTCTCTCTCTCTCTCTCTCTCTCTCTCTCTCTCTCTCTCTCTCTAACTCTATAACTATTGTCAATGATTACTATCACTGCTTAAAAAAACAATCATAAATATTTTAAATGCTAAAAACATCACATACTAAAGTTACATACAGTATATTATTAACATATAATTTACTGTATATATCAACTATATATATATATACAGTATATAAATTTTATTGTTGCGATAAAAAATATTTTAATACTCATTAATATATTAAACTGTACTGTACAACAACAACAAAAATTAAAGGGTATATAAATACAGTAATAACACAACGTTTTCACAATTCAATTGTAATATTCAATAATATTATTTGATATAATTCAAGTGTTAAAAAGTTTTTTATATCTCAATTTTGACATCAAATATATGATATATATATGATATATATATATAGTGTAAAACAAACTCAACATATTTTATGTTTTATTGTTTGCACTAAAAATCTTAACATTGATTTCTAAAAGTGATATACTGTTTGTATACTGTATTTTGTTTTAATTTTATTTATTTAGTACAGTATATTAGCAATGAAACACTTGTCTGAATAAAAAAAAATATATATTTATATATTAATAAGTTATTATCAGTTATTATCATATTATTCACAATTGCATTGTTGGCATTATTTTATTGAAAAAAAATAAAATAAATGTCACATTAATAATCATATATATATATTTATAACTATAACTATATATTTTTTTTATTTAATATAAAATTTAGTTCAATTTATAGTACAATTTAGTGTACTATTGTACTACAATATAGACATATATTTGATATTAAATATCCTAATTATTTTGTTGTCGTTATAATAATAATAATTATTTATTAATAATAATAATAATAATAATAATATCCTAATTAAAATCGAAAACTATTTTAATAACCATATATATATATAGATATTTTTTTAAAAAATATTTATATTATCATTCAATCTATAAAAATATAATAATAATAATTATTATTATTATAAATTTTTTTGTGTCATAAATAACTCCATATATTGATTGATTAATTAAATAATACTTTTAAAAAAAAAAAAAATTTTGACATAAATTTTTATGGTGTGATTTATAAATACTATAATATATACTACGACTACATTAATAATTATTAATAATTTACACATAAAAGTCAATATTACTAATAATAATAATAATAATACTTATCATTGAAGAAAAAATATTTTATTTTATTTAAAAAAAAAAGTTATGTTTCATTCAAACCGTATATTCAGTCAATCCCTGCAAAATGCTTACAATAATAATCGCATTGAAGAAATGCTATCAAAAATCTATCTAAAATCGGCGATAACTCAGCCGGAATTGGCTACCGGTGCCGGCAATTGTCTAACCTATGGGCTATGTTCGGTACAGGGCTGGCGCCGCTATCAAGAGGACGCCCATGTGGCCGCCCTGGACTTTGACGATCAATGGTCACTGTTTGCCGTATTTGACGGTCACAATGGTCCCGAAGTGGCTCTACTGGCCCGACAACGGTTGCCCCAAATGCTTAGAGACAACAAATGTTTTATCGCCGGCGAAATCGATCGGTCACTCGAACAGGTATTCATGGCCTTCGATGCCCTACTGTTGACCCGTACCGCCCATAACCAGCTGTTTGAACTGAGACGGTCGGCGCTGGGCAACGAAAATATGTCGCCCAACGACAAACCGGGCGTAAGTAGCGGCTGTACAGCACTGGTAGTGCTGATCAATCGGGAAACCGATACCGTATACGTGGCCAACATTGGCGATTCCAGATGTGTACTGTCGCGTAGCGGTAAAGTTACGCCAATGTCGACCGATCATAAACCCGAGGATCGACCGGAACGCAAGCGTATAGAGCGGGCCGGCGGACACATTATCGACGGCCGTATCAATGGCGGTCTCAACCTATCCCGTGCTTTCGGCGATCATCAATACAAACGTAATCGCCTGCTGCTGGCCGAAGAACAAATGGTCACATCGTGGCCAGAGATCAAAGTCAAACAATTCAAACCAAAATCGGGCGACTTTCTGGTCATTGCCTGCGACGGTATCTGGAATACACTATCGACCAATAAGGTGGCCAAATTTGTCGACAAACGTCTGAAATCGGGTCGCCACCAATTAACCGATATATGCCAACAATTAACCTACCGATGTATGTCACCAGTGCTACCGATTCACGGTATTGGCGGCGATAATATGACCTGTATTATTGTCAGATTTGATGGACAGCCATCATCATCACCGTCACCATCAGTATCGTTATCATTGTCATCAATGGACAGGTAGATGTAGTCTCAGTAGTAGATTGGAGGTGTGGCAGTTAGTTTTTTTTATGGCTACCCATAACTGATACCCAACTGTATATTTGTAACCTAACTGTACTGTATATTTATTTTTTATAGCTAACACACAAAACTCGTAAAAAAAACTAATTTATTTTTTAACTTTTTTAAAAAGTGTCCTTAAAACTGATTAAAACTAAATTTCATTTTATCATTTTATTTATGATAATAATAATATTGTAAATTATATATACATATTGTACTGTAGTATAAGCCATGTGTTGTCCATATGATATCACATTTAATTTTATTTTTTAACTTATCATTGAAATTGTAAAATAATTTATTAATTTGTGTATATATATTTTTTATGATAATAATAATAATTATCATTTTATCAAACAAAAATTATTGTACTGTATTTATCATATGCAATCAAATTGAAATAATAAATATTTTTGTTGTTTTTTATATAAATTAAATATTTTGATAAATTTTATAGTAATAAAAAGTTACAAAAAAAATGATAATATAAGTAATGAAATTTATTATTTTTTGTGTAATTAATTAGCCATTAAACTACTTGATAGCTATCAATCGGTTAGTTAATTAGTCTATCATAGAGGCCGTGCCCCCCATCCCATACCCCCATTATCTCACTAATAATATCTAACATTATAAAACTCGGCGCCGTTAGCTTTAGACGACTGTTCATTATAATCACTAACATTATTATTACTAGTATTAGTAGTAGTAATGCTATTATCGTCGCCAATAATATCTTGTTTGCTGATCCGGACAAACCGTTTGACCATATATTTGGCCAATCGTTTGCCAAAATACGGGTCCCGATGCATACCAATCAGTGCATCGCAAATTTCATCCCGGAGCTTCTGGGGCATCAAATTGTTGACAACTATCGGATAGGGTGCCAATGGACCAACTGATACCAATACCAACAGTTCGGGCTTAAGTTGCGGGTTTCGGTCGAGAAATATTTGCAAACAATTACTATCGACGGCCGTAGCGTCCGACTGGCCATTCAATATCATATGTATTGATTGTAGATCCGACCCGGACTGTTGTTGGTGTCCGAAAAAGTGGCCATTTACGCCCAATTTTTTCAGTTCATTAACTGTTAGCAGATGGGCAGCGGTCGGTTGGTTAACATTGTAGGTCCAGCGGCAGCCGCGGAGGTCACCGAAACAGCTGACGCGCGGCCTAAACAACAACAACACATATTAATCCTATTATTAGTCCATTTCAATAAAATAGGCTTAACTTAAAAATTTTAATACAGTTATTAATATTATATCTACAGTTATTTTGCACCGTTATCTCTCTCTCTCTCTCTCTCTCTCTCTCTCTCTCTCTATCGATAGTTTTTTTTAACATACCTGAGCGATTTATGTATAACCACGTCATAATAGTATCCGGGTGTATTAATGTTGCCATCATCGTTACCATTGCCGTCATCGGGACTGCGCTGCAATTTTGGATGACTGTGCACTGTGGCTACCGGCAACAGTGCTACCTGTCCCGTACGTAACAGATTCAGATGATTTGCGTCACTAATCCAGGCTATTTAATGTATTAAACAACTTATTTACTGTGTATTTAGTATGTATAGTTATATACTGTAGTTATTATTCAATAATAATAATTTTTGCGAAACAGTCAGATATAATCCCTGCACTTGTAGTTGTTTTTTTTAATATCTAACATTCCTCCGCCCTTCCCCTCTCTAAGAAACTACAGTTACTGTACAGTGTATATATATATATATATATATATATATATATATATATATATATATATATATATATATGTATGTGTATATATGTATGTATGTGTATATATGTGTATATATGTGTATATATGTGTATATATGTGTATATATGTGTATATATGTGTATATATGTGTATATATGTGTATATATGTGTATATATGTGTATATATGTGTATATATGTGTATATATGTGTATATATGTGTATATATGTGTATATATGTGTATATATGTGTATATATGTATGTATGTGTATGTATGTGTATATATGTGTATATATGTATGTATGTGTATGTATGTGTATATATGTGTATATATGTATGTATGTGTATATATGTATGTATGTGTATGTATGTGTATATATGTGTATATATGTATGTATGTGTATGTATGTGTATATATGTGTATATATGTATGTATGTGTATATACCGTATGTATGTGTTTTCTGACACATGTATTATGTAATTAATATATTAATCAATTAAATTTCAAACCCATATCGATCTCGTTGTTGGCAAATATCTTATTTAAATTATCGACATTTGATTCGTACCGCAAACTGGTATCAATATAACCAATCTTTAGCTTCAAATACTCCAATATTATCTGAAAATTTTTTTAGTAATAATAATAATAATTTTAATTTTATTAAATATTATGTAATAAAAAATAATTTAATATAATATGTTATAATAATAATAAAATATGTAAAATTATTTTGTATTAATTAGAAATAAAATTTTTTGTTTTATTAGTTTATTATGTTTTTTTGGTTGGGGGGGTTAGTGTATTAGTTTTAATATTATTATTAAATAAGTGTTTTTACCTCAAAATAGCCGACCGGTATAGTGGGCGCCAGTATTCAATAATAATAATTTTTGCGAAACAGTCAGATATAATCCCTGCACTTGTAGTTGTTTTTTTTAATATCTAACATTCCTCCGCCCTTCCCCTCTCTAAGAAACTACAGTTACTGTACAGTGTATATATATATATATATATATATATATATATATATATATATATATATATATATGTATGTGTATATATGTATGTATGTGTATATATGTGTATATATGTGTATATATGTGTATATATGTGTATATATGTGTATATATGTGTATATATGTGTATATATGTGTATATATGTGTATATATGTGTATATATGTGTATATATGTGTATATATGTGTATATATGTGTATATATGTATGTATGTGTATATATGTATGTATGTGTATGTATGTGTATATATGTGTATATATGTATGTATGTGTATGTATGTGTATATATGTGTATATATGTATGTATGTGTATATATGTATGTATGTGTATGTATGTGTATATATGTGTATATATGTATGTATGTGTATGTATGTGTATATATGTGTATATATGTATGTATGTGTATATACCGTATGTATGTGTTTTCTGACACATGTATTATGTAATTAATATATTAATCAATTAAATTTCAAACCCATATCGATCTCGTTGTTGGCAAATATCTTATTTAAATTATCGACATTTGATTCGTACCGCAAACTGGTATCAATATAACCAATCTTTAGCTTCAAATACTCCAATATTATCTGAAAATTTTTTTAGTAATAATAATAATAATTTTAATTTTATTAAATATTATGTAATAAAAAATAATTTAATATAATATGTTATAATAATAATAAAATATGTAAAATTATTTTGTATTAATTAGAAATAAAATTTTTTGTTTTATTAGTTTATTATGTTTTTTTGGTTGGGGGGGTTAGTGTATTAGTTTTAATATTATTATTAAATAAGTGTTTTTACCTCAAAATAGCCGACCGGTATAGTGGGCGCCAAATAGGTGGCCGCTCTCAGTCTAATAGTCGTGTCCACCGATTTTTTGGTGGCCAACCCGTTAGCGATACCATTAATACAGCTGTTATTGATGTTATTATTATCATTATTACAACAATTATTAATGCCATTAGATTTACTCATTTTTATATGAAAATTAATTAATTAATTAATTAATACATAATACCCAATAACATTATGACTATAAATTTTTAATTAAAAAAAAATATTAATGCACTTTAACTTTATTATAAATATATCATATCTATATATATAGTTTATTATTTAGTCAGTTATATCAATATTATTTACAATATAACAACTTTTGTTTTTTATTTAAATTATTAATTTATGCATTAAAAGTCAAAGTTTTATATTAAATTTCATTATTTGATAAATATTTTTGTCAAATATATATATATATATATAAAAAACTTGTTTTTCAGGAATATTCTAAAGTCTAGACATTTTTTATTAAAATGTTGTTTATTTTAATATTTATACAAAAAAAATAAAAAATAAAAATAAAATTTCATTTAGTAATAATATTATTTATATATATTTTTTAATAAATGGTCTATTAATTAAAGTTATAGACAGAGACACACATTTATAATGTAGATCGGTATACATAATACTATACAGTAATGTATTAAATAATTGCCAGATAAACACATATATTTAATTTAAAATAACATTTTTATTAGTAATACTATTAATGTTATTAATGTTTATTATTTAAGTATATATAAAATATTTATAGTAAAAATAAACAACCAAAATTTTCCACACAAATAATAATAAACTTTTATTTTTATTTTTATAAATATAATTTTGTTGAATATCTGTATGTTTCTGATAAAACATTTATTTTTACTCTCTCTCTCTCTCTCTCTCTCTCTCTAAATTTATTTGATTGACCACAACTAGCAATAGATTAAATTAAATTTATTTCCTTATTTACTATCTATTTATAGTAACTAATAATAAAATTATATTATATTAAGTCACTGTATATGTATTATACAGTACTAAATATTTAGTTATTATAAATTAGTATTCAATTTTTTTTTATTTTATTAATATTTTACTGTACTAAATGTGATAAAAAAAATTATAATAAAATTATATATTAAATATTATACTGTATATATTTTGTAAAAACAATTTTTTAAAAATTTAATTTATTCATATTGTTTGTGTATGTGTTTGTATTGTCACATATTTTTCAAAAATAATAATTTTATATTACCTGTTATTATTTTTATTATTTATTTAATATATTTATAATAACAAGTGTTAAGCTTAAGTAAATATTATTGAAAATAATTTTTATTTTAAAATATCTAAACAATAAAATTAATGCTAATTTTCATAAATAATAATAATAATTTAATAAATATGTCATATCAACTGTATTTATTAACATAAAAATATTTAACTACAATTTTTTTTAATATCATCAATAAATTTTATTTAATTTATTTACAATATAGTACTTAAATTTTAAAAAATCTAAACAAAAATTATTTATATATATAATATTATTACAACTTGAATATGAACATGATTAAAATAATAATTATCATCTAGCTAATATTTAATTTTTAATTACATAATATGACAAATATTTTAAATTGTATAAAATTAACAAATTGTTTAAATTTTGCTAAAATCTGATAAAAAATTATAATTTTTATAATGATAAATACTTTTAATTAAAAAATATAAATTACAAAATAAAATAAAAAAATATTACCGAGATACTTTGATTAAATCAATTTATTATTTAATATAATATACAAAACGAAAAAAATTAATATTATTAATATATAGTTATTAAAATTAACAATTTATAAGAATTTTTAAATTAATTTTTAAAAAAAAACATTATGATTAGATTATCTTGGTAAATTATATTGTATAATTATAATTATTGGACTTATATAACAGAAAAAAATTTTCTCAATAATATATGTAAATTTATAGTAAAAATTATTAAAATATAAAAAAAAATTAATATCACAAAAATTAATTGGTATGTAATTTCATAACAAAAAAAAACAACAAAAATATTTAAATAATTAAATCACAATTTTTTGAATTTCATATTACAATATTAAATAACATATATAATAATCATCAATCAATTAATCAATTAATAACAAAATTAACATAACTTATATATATATATAAATAATTATTTAATAAACATAAATATGTAATAAATAATATTATAGATAGATAGATAAATTAGATATATTAAGTATAAATAAATAAGATATAAATTAGTGAAATCAAAAAATTATTGGTATATATATTGATAATATTTACTAATAATAATAATAATAATATTATTATTATTAGATAATATAAATTTTTTGAATATATTTCAATGGGTAAATTAAAAGTAAAAAAAAATAATAATAATGTTAATATTAAATAAATAACAAAATTTATGATTATTAATTAGGTAATTAATTAAATTAATAAAAAATTAAATAAAGTGTTAATTTATACAAAACAAACAAAATAGTTGATTAGTGTAAACTTGGTTAACCACTCATACCCCCCTCCACCCAATCATTAGCTGTGCCCCATTAAGCAGTAAGGGGGATGGGGTGCCCCCACCCTATTATTATTAGTTACTGTACAAAAAATGATTAGTTTATGTATGAGTGTGTGTGAGAGGGGACTCAAAAAAAACTAATTGATTTTTTTTGGTATTAATTATAATAATTAATAACAATTTCTAATGACTTTATGTTTTGTTTTGTTTTAATTTAATCACTATTTTTTGTTTTAAAAATTTTAAAAAAAACTCATGTCTTTGTTGTAGACGTTGTCTCGTTTTTCTTCAATAATCTCTCTTTGAGTCCACCGGTAGTTATCCTTCTCTTAGTCTTCTGTTGTTCCAGTCGTTTGTTTTCAGTAATCTCTTTGATCTTTTGCTTTGACTTTTCAATGCTGTTGTTGTAGTCATTGTCGTCGTTGTCATCGATGGATATGAAGACAATAACAAACAAACAAACAAATTATCAATCAATTCACAGATTTAATAAAATTAGTTTTGAAAAACTAATTAAAAAACTAAAACAAACTTTTGTTTAATTGTTCGCTGAATCTCACGTTTGAATATATCCTTAAAATCGCGACAAAATGGCATCCAATGGGCGAAAAACTCTTTCGGCCACTCGTTCTGTGATTTACTCTTTGGTTTGTATAGGAAGAAGTCCATAGTGTCCGGGAAACTAATAAAACAAAACAATAATAACCGATAATTATCTTCAACAACAACAACTACGACAACAACATTGAAACATACATTTTGTTGCATTCGTCGCAATTGTCGCGAAGCTCTTTGATATGACTGTTGGCCGACTCGAGGAACGATCGCATACGCGACTGAAACGGTTCCAAGTGTTGACTATCGGCCGACGATTTCAATACTTTATCCACTCGTCGTTCGCAGCCAATCATCTCCGACTCCAGCGACTTGATGTCGGCAGCGATATCTTCGAAGACAATCAGCGAAGCTCGTTCCAGATCGGATGGTTCGGGTAACGGAAATCGGATCTCGTCGATGGACAGTATGTCCGGATAGGTTTGGCCAATATATTTGCGTACAACAAACTCCAATAGACTGACGGCATTGTTTTTGCCCTTAACGTCCCGTAATTTGGGCAATATTTCCAGCCCGAACCCGTCCGCTTGTCCCCGATCACGGTTACCGCCGTTCATATAGTTGCCTAAAGTCAGTATTATAGCGAAAATCTCTTTGATGGACGCCATCGTAGTCAACGATTCGCAGAGTATCTTAAATGTGTTCAAACGGCTCTCGATGGTCGACAAATGATCGGCGAACTTAATCTCGTAGACAATAGCCTGGACTCTGTCGGCAAAAGCGTGTATTTGTGACAAACTATAGAGAAATTCTTCGGCTTTGGCCAACTGAATGTCGGGTTTTGTTTTCAAATGTTTGTCAATCAATTCCAGTTCCTCTTTGGTGGCCATAACTTCGAAAATCTGTTCCAACGTTTCCGAATCGATTACCGAATTGTCGAAATTGTAGACCGAATTTTCGATGTCTTCGATATTCAAGTGCAACGATCGGACCAGAATGCCGACATTGTGGGCCCGTTTCGAGTCGATAATATTGGCGGCAACTTTGGCTTTCGGTTTTTTTGCCGCCGAATCGCCTTCTTTAGCCGATCCGTCCTTTGATTTTGACTTCTTTTCGATTACTTGACGGGAGAATAGGTCGACAAATTCGTCGTCAATGAAATGCTTGGATTCGTCGATGTTGTCCCACAAGTATTTCGGTTTCGGCGGCCGACTATGACTTTGCGAATCATCCGAATCGACATTACTGTCGGCTGAATCATCGGGACTGGTAATCGGCGAAGCAATTGGTGTATTGTTGTTGACTGGAGTTACGATAGTAGTAGTAGTAGTAGTGACTGGATTTGTGACCGGAATTTGTATGCGACTCCAGAATAGCGGTCGCATCGGTGCCGCCGGGTTTACCGGATCTTTGCGAGCCTGTGAGTAGATTTGACTCCAGCCGCCAACAGGCGGCGCCGGCATTGCCATCGGACCAGATGAGTGTGACGAAGGAAAAGGTGGCGGCGGTAGTGGACCACCGAATGGTGGAGGCGGTGGCGGTGGACCAAAACCTTTAGCACCGGGCAATGGTGGCGGCGGTGGTGGTCCGCTACCTGGTAATGGTGGAGGAGGTGGCGGTCCCGACATCAGACCGGGAAGTGGTGGTGGAGGCGGTATTCCCGCTCCGGGAAGTGGTGGTGGAGGCGGTATACCCGATCCGGGAAGTGGTGGCGGCGGCGGAATACCAGACATCATACCTGGCATTGGAGGTGGTGGCGGAATGCCTGCTGCTTGACCAGGAAGTGGCGGTGGAGGCGGTATTCCCGCTCCGGGAAGCGGTGGCGGCGGAGGAATATTACCAGCGCCTGGAAGTGGTGGTGGTGGAGGTATTGATGTTTGACTTAGCGATGTAGGATGCGGTGCAACTGTCATCCCTGGTAAGGGTGGCGGCGGTGGTGGTCGAGGAGGTGACTGTAATGTGACCGAAGAAGAACAATCTTTAGCATCTGACTGTTCTAACTGTGCCGTCGCTTCTGTAAGTGAACCGCCATCACAACCACCACCGCCGTCGCCCGTGTCGTCAAGTTTATCGGGAGCTGCCATTAGTTTTTGTTGTTCTTGTCCTCCGTCGGTAGTATTGGTGGACGTCGTCGTCGGTGTCATCGATTGGTAGATACGAAGGACAGCGTAGACGACAATCGGTACCGATATATAAGTAAATAGTTTGTCGAGTATTAGACCAACTGGTGATGGATGACAACAACAAACAGTTGGTGATTATCATCAGTAAACCCATTCATAAGTGTGTGGAAAGGTATGGTATGGGTATCGGGTATGGTATCGGGTATCGGAGGTCACAGAATCGGGTAACTGATAGGTAGGGGAGGTAGTGATTGACCGACACTTTTACACTATTGATTGAATCGGATAATACATGCATTCATTCAATGGATTTTTATTTTTTGATAACAAAAAAACTAAAAAAACAAAATTTAAACAAAAAATTAAATAAAATATTCAAATAAAAATAATTATTTAAAATAATAATAATAATAATTATAAATTAAGCGATTAAATGATATGATAATTAAAATATATATTTTTAACACAAAAATATTATAAATCATATTTAATTTTTTTTAATAAAAAAATTGTAATTACTTTTGATAACTTAGTTTAGTTTTATGGGTGTCTTCAATAAAAATTTAATTTTATTTATAATATATTTCACAATTAAATCACAAAAAAATAATAAAACTAATTATCACTTATATATTATTGATATATAATCACATAATTTATACAATATTGACATTTAAAAAAACAAAATATTAAATTAAATTAAATTTTTTGTTTTTTCCTTTAATAATAATTAATTGACACAAATTTTTTTTAGTGTATTAATTATTATGTAATAGTAATATATATGATATATATTATAGTTTATATTATTAATCAATCAATCAGTTAATAGATATTTAATATGAGATTATATTTTATTTATTTTTTAATAGTTATTATTATTATTATTACTTACTATTATCAGTCATTGGTATATAAATTATATGATAACATGTTTTTATTTAAATTAAATATTTAAATAATTATAACAAAAAAAATTTTGATTTCAATATTCAATTAGACAATTAAATATAATAATTAATTTCATAAAACATTTTATTTATTTTTTTTGAGTATTGTTTTTATTTAGTGAGACTTATTTAACAAACAAAAAATATTATGATATTATTATTATTATTATTATTTGGTGATAATATTACACACAACAAAAAAATAATTAAATTTATTAATAAATTTTAATGAAAATTTATTAACCAATTGCTTGTATAATATATTTAACAGCAATGTTGTTGTAGTTGTTATACACTAAATAACATTATATTTTTTACGATAACATTGTATTATATAAAATATTAATTGAATGAATGTCTACATAACATACACAGTGTGTTACACACAATGTATTACACATACAGTACAGTCAATTAAGTGCAAACAAAATTACAATTACGCAAAAAAAACATAACAAAACATATATACTGTATATTATATGTAGTTTTAAACCTAAACACTAGTATATACCGTATGTATACACTGTATATAGCCATACATCCAATGTATAGCCCCCTCCCCATCAAACAAACACACATATATATACTGTATAGTGACTCATATTAAAAAATATTTAACTAAAAAATGAGTCATACGGTACTGTCAATAATAATTATACTGTATATTATATATGTGTACTGTATATACAGCAGGGTTGGAAAAATACAAGGTTTTTAAAATTTTGATTTTGTATCATACAGTAAAATACAATATACTAATACAATGTATTATACAAATTTTTAAAAACTAATATACTGTATATTACTGTATGTTTAAAAAAACAAATTACTTTAAAATATTTAGTAAAAATATATAATTTCTAGAAAATCAATGCATTATTATTAATATAATAAGTTATCTAAAAAATCAAATAATTTAAAATAAAAAATAAAATAAATTCAATAATAATAAAAATATAATAATATTAAATCTATATATTTATTATAAAACATTAATTTATTTTGCTTATATCAATGCTTTTAGCAATAGGTGGCTCTAAAAAAAATTTTTTTTTTGTAAACCAAATTGGTCATGTATTTTACATAGTATTATAAATTGTATTATACATTGTATAATATACGCTTTGTATTATACAAAGATTTTGTCTTTGCCAACACTGATAACACTACACAACATTGAATAACATACCCATATATGTTTGAAATATAAATTATTATTATTATTATTACTACTATACAGTACAATAGCATTGATGAATTTTTTTCCCAAAAAAAAAGTAAAAATAAAATAATAACTTGTTTTTTAGTCTATAGTTTTTTTTTACTAAAATACAATAGTATTTTAAATATGTATAATAATTTTAGTTTTTTTAAATATACAAATGTAATACAAAAATAATATAATTGTTATAATTATTATGAAGTTTTTACTTCAAAAATATTTTTTTAGGGGTAAAAAACAAAAAAGTTTAATGACATTGAATGCAGCGATGCATTGTGTGATGCATACGGTATTGAAAATTATTTAGTTATTATTATTATTCAATAATATGTATATAATTATTAATATATGTTTTTTTCATTATTTAGTTATTTTATTATTCAATAATTATATTATTAATAACAAAAAATAATTTGTTTTATTATTATTATTTTAAAAATATGTTATATTATGTTTTTTTTTTAAAAAAAATGTTTGCAAATAAAACTTTTTTTTTAAAAAAACATTTTGTTTTTTGTAGTTTCTATGTTTATAACAAAATTTTTATACAAATTATTAAAATTTTATGCCATTTTTTGTTTGTTTGTTTGTTTGAATAGAAATTATATATAACCGGAAACTAAACTTTTTGTTTGTTATTATATAATATATTTTTATTTTAAATCATTATTATAATAGCTTATTATATTTTTGATAGACCATAAAATTTTTAATAAAAAATAAAACTATAATTATAATAATAATAATAAATATGAAATCATTAAACAAATTTTGTTTTTTTAGTTGCGGTTTGTTTTTTATTTTTCTTTAAAAAAAAATCTCTAATAAATTTTATCATTTATTTTGAGGTTTGAGTTCAATAATAATAATTATAATTAAGAAACAATAATAATAATTATTATTTTTATTATAATAGTATTATTTTTTATGAATTAATGAATAGTGGTAATAATTACAATAATTAAAATTATTATTTATAGATAAATATATATATATATATATTGTATATAAAAATAACCGATAAAATTAATATTTCATTTTAATGAGAGAGAGAGAGAGAGAGAGAGAGAGAGAGGAAATAATAATGTTAATAATTGTTTTGTTGGTAATAATAATAATAATGTCAAATAGATATAAAATAAATCTCCATAAACACACACACACACACACTATCTATAAATTTTTTTTGAAAAAAATTAAAACTAATTAATTAACAATAATAAAATTGAATAAACAGTCAATCTAATAATAATAATAATAATTATGATACTAAAAAAAATTAGCAAAAAAATATATCATCATTTTTGTTTCACACATACGGTAACCAGTTATGAGTATATTATTGATTATAATTTATAAATTAAAACTAAAAATAAATTGATTTTGTTGTTGTTTGGTTGTTATTTTTGTTAAAATAAAAATTGTGCACAAATTTAAAATTATTAATTAATTAATTAATTAATTAGATAAGGGATGATTAAACTAAAATCTAAAAAAAATAATAATAATAATTATAATTAAGATAAAATATACAATATGTGCAATAATTTTTGAATTTGTAATCTGAAAACAATTGATTTGTTTGTCTATAAAAAAAAATATATGTGTGATTTTTATAACACAATTACTATTTATATAATAAATATACTGTATATATATAAATAAAATTATTATCATTACCGGTAAAAATTATTTTTGTTTTGTTTCAATTAGTGAGTCTAAAATAATTACAATTAATTTTTTTCTTTTAATAAAAAAAAGGTATAAATTAATATAAACATATATACTGTATATATATATATATATATATATTTGGGTCAAATAGTATTGTCATATGATTTTTATGTGTGTGTGTGTGTGTTATTATTAGTGTATAATTAATGATATAATTATTTTTTTTTTGAAAACCAATTACTAATCACTAATAATTCATTGTTAGGACGCTTTGAAAACTTGAATGATTCGGTCGACTCTTTCTTTGCCTTTTTTGGTCATTATATCCTTAAAAAAATACAAAAAAAAAACATATTATAAAACCAAACAAACAAACAATTTATTTATTTATTTTCTACTAACAGCTAGATATGCAAAATCCCGGAGCTTTTGCAATACTTCGACTAACGGATCAAACGAACCGTTAGGTAGAGTATCCCGGACTGCATTGGTATATCTCATGTTGTCCTGTATGGTACAGCCTAGCAGTAGGGATATACAGGCAGCGATTATGCTGTGCTCCATATGGTTACCCGATTGGGACAGCACTGGTTATATATAACAATACAAAACAATAAAAACAGATTATTAAATGATTTAAATTGAGTGGACAGTTAGTTAGTTAGTTAATTGCATACTTGTGTGCAACAGTGAATCGCGCATGGCTTCGGTCATCTGGACTTTTTCATGCGATTCCAACAGTTCATCGGTTTGCTGTTCGGTTCGTTGTGCTTCTTGTATACGACGAAACAATAGATCGATGATATCCCGGAGCTTCAAACGATTATTGATAACCAAGTCGCGCATTTGTGGACAAAATTCAACCAAATTGATGCATAGGCACAATAGTATGACCATTAGATCGAATCGCTGGTCAGACATGATAAACGATGGCAATTCGATGATCGATTCGAGTAGCAAATCAATGATACCGTCGTACGAACCGATTGTCGAACAGCCGTCAACTGGTTGGGTTGGGTTGGGTGGGGGAGAGGGATAGAAGCAAATGATTAAACAATTATCAACAGTGGTAATAGTGATCATCATCATCATCGATGGTTATGACCACTTCATTCATTCATTCATTCATAGATTACATACCACTTTCCGATGTTAGATGAGTTAAGACTCGAAGAATCGAGAAAAAGGCCGATAAAAACACTTTCGAGTCATTGGACGCCAGTATCCGATATTTGCATGAATGAAGTAATCGGATACAGGTGCTGATAAGTAGGCCGTTCTTGTATTCGAGTAGATAGACTTGATTTTCGGTGTTATTTAAGGTAACCTTTTATTAGTAAAGGGAGGGGGAGACAGACAGCAGATCCATATAAATTAGTTATCAATCAATCGTTATCGTTAGCAATGGGACATACATTTTCGAGGACATGCATACACCGGTCGATTTTGATCATCAGTCCTTCATCTTCGTGTTGTTCGGCACACCGGAGGACAGTATCCAATATAAAGTCGATGCCTTTGATTCGACGCAACTCTTCCTTAAACCAATCGCCAGCTCGTTTCGATGTCAGTCCCAATAGTGTTTCCATTGCTAGATTACCGGCCTATCGGGGGGGGGGGGCGGTAGTGGTGGACACAAACAAACAAACAAAAATAATAGGTTACCGATAACTAGAATCAATTGATCAGTTGTTAAAACATACAGTAATTTCCGTCAGTTTCAGATACTTGGCCACATGTATGCCCTTATTCTTCATCTGTTCGCACATTTCTTTTACTTTGTCCCGATGACGACTGTCCACACCGTTGCACTCATCGCTCCGAGTTTCAAGCAACTGAAGCATCAGCGCCAGTGCATTGGGATCGATGTCCATTGTCAGCCGATCCTGACTGTAGACAAACATCAGACAAGCCGTACATAAAGCCAGATTGGCGTCGGTCGGAGCGTCCATTAAGGCACTGATAATGCGCGGCATGTCGTCGTGTGCCCGCAAATGCATACGAAACTCGGGTCGCATCGCCTGTTGGGTGAGACCTAAGATACTGTTCCCGTTGAGCGACAGATTGAAAGAGAGTGATAGATAAGACATTAGACTATCGGTAACTAATGTTGAAGAATAATATGACGGTCTATGGTATATACCTGAGACATCTCATGGCCGACGAGTTGGACACATCGATACCACTTAAATGATATTTAATATCGTCGTCAAACTGTTCCGTTTCGCCCAAATCGTGGCATTGGTGAGCCTTCTTCACCCGATGCAGTACCACATAGTCGTCCTCTTTGTCAAACTCGTCGGACAACTTGTTTTTGTTGGCCGCGCCGGCCGCAGTCGTTGTGGTCGCGCCTGAGGCACTGGCGGCACCCGTACTGCCACCACTGGAAGCACTGGTGGCTGTCATCGATTCCGAGCCAATCGGATTGCCGTCGTCGTCGGTAAAGTCCATCGTACCGGATGTCCAAAAGTTTTTCGTATTGAATACAGCCGTCCGGTTCTTCTTGTGTAACGACGAAAAGATTTTACGCTTTGGTTTGGCGGCGGCGGCTATCACTTGATCGCTGGCGGCGGTTGAGGTATCAGCTATTGTTGTTGTGGTTGTGATCATTGATGACATGGATGACGGAGGAGATGCGGCTATCGTTGTGTCTGATGTTGTAGTTGTTGTGGTGGTGACGGTGTCGGTGGTGTTTGAAGACAACAACTCTGTCGTAGGTAACATCATGTCGTCGTCGTCGACAATATCATCGGGTGTTGTGATTGCTTGGACACTACTGGCCGTTGTTGTTGTTGTTGTCGATGCTGTCGTTTCTGTTGTGGTCAACGCTGTGATGTCCATCGAATCAATGTCAACACTGTTTCTTCCGGTGTCCAAACAATCATCGGACGACACATTACTGTTGTGGTCGGCGGCTGCGGCGGCATCCATAGCCTCCGACGACACCACAATATCATTGGTAACCACACTAATAGTCTTTGTCGTAACAGTTTTCTCCTGTACCGTATGTCCGGCTGCCGTAGCCAATCGTGTTTGTCTATTGTATGTTTTAGTACGTGTAGTCAACTGTGAGGCATTGGTGGCCGACGGAGTACTGGCCAAATAGATCTCATGCGAGTTGTTGTTGTTGTTGGTATTGCCGTTGTTGGGCGACAATGAGGCCGCGGAAGAGGACGACGACACGGATGAGTGAACAGTATATCCAGTCGAGTCGGGTATTGTTGGCGACAACTGTTGTTGTTTTGGTTGTCGTCGTTGTCGTCGAGTATTATTGACAGCAGCGGTTGCAGCGGTAACAGCGGATACCGTTACCACTCGTTGGGCAGCAACGGTGGCTGTTGTTGYTGTTGACGGCAATTATCGGTATCGCCGTTATTATTATCGTTAGTATCGATAGTGGTTTTCGGTCGCCACCGATACTGTACATCAAATATATTGGCCGCCGTCGATGATGACGACGATTTGTTTGACATTGTTTTTGTCTTTACCGATGCAGTCGCAGCTGTTGTCATCGATCGTCGATTAGACGGTGCGTCCGACCAGAAGTTCTTCATATTGAACACCTGTCGCTGTTGTTTGGTCTGCGAACTGAAGAAACGTTTCTTCTGTTGTTGCGGTGGAGGCGGCGGTACTGCCGATGACTCGTTGGCCGCCATCGAAGCGCCGATTGATAATCACTGACTGTGTTTGTGAATGAATGAGCGGAGTCTTCGTTGTCTTCGTCTTCTTCTTCTTCAGTCGAGTCAGAGTTTGTCTACCATTTCAACGGATGAAGAGTTTAAATGATAGATACGTTATGTTATTATTATATCTGATATATAAATGTATTAATAAAGTCAACAAAAATATATAATAATTTTATAATAGAGTAGTAATTGTATGTTTAGTATACTGTATCACAATWATTGTATACATAAATTATGGGCACGAGTTTGGTTTAGTGGAACATATAGTCAATGTGTGTGTATGTATGTGAGTGTGTGTGTATGAGTGTATATATATATATATTTGTTTGTGTAAGTGTGTGTATGTATGTGTATGTGTGTGTATGTGTGTGTATGTGTGTGTATGTGTGTGTATGTGTGTGTATGTGTGTGTATGTGTGTGTATGTGTGTGTATGTGTGTGTATGTATGTGTATGTGTGTGTATGTGTGTGTATGTGTGTGTATGTGTGTGTATGTGTGTGTATATGTGTGTGTGTGTATGTATGATTGTATGTGTGTGTGTGTGTGTGTGCGTAAGTGTGTGTGTGTGTATTTTTGGGGGGCAAACGTTTTCATTTGGATGTCATTTATGGACTTGATAAAGTGGTGATGTTTGAAAATGAGATATTTATAAAAATGTAGTAAACACCTCTACACTACTCTGTTTTATTATTGTTATCATTGATAAAAATTTACATTGACAGTTGCACATTTTATTAGTACATATAGTAGTCGACACGGTTTAGTTTTTTAGAAATTATTTAGAAATTTTAACTTTATTATTTTTTAAAAATGTTATAATTAGAATTATTTAGTTATTCTATTTTTTAAAAAAAAAATGTTAGCATTTTTATATGGTAAATTTGTATTAATAAATTAAACTAGATACATTTATTTATTTATTTTTTTAAAAATGTACAATGTGTGTTTGTATATTTTAAAAGTGTCTAGCTCAATCGATAGATGGCAAACTAGATTCTATAAACAAAAAATAAAGTTTTTTTTTTAAAAAAAAATTGACGGTTTACATTTAGTAAAAAATAATTAATAATTAATTAATTTTTAGTCAGCCAGCCCCCCCCCCATTTTAATTAAATTTAACCCACCCTATTTAATCTATTTTAAAAGTAGCTTGATCATTATATTTTTTTAAAAAAATTAAGATAAATAATAAAAATAAAATTATTTTAATGATAATGATTTTTTTTTTTAAATAATAAATTGATTTAATATAATAACAATTTTTTTAATTTATGTTTTTTTGTTATTAATTTATTTATTGTTTGCTAATTTAACTTATTTTTAAATTTTTTAAAATTTAATTTTCTAAATGTTATCCGTTTAGTATAATTTTGTCTGTATCTATATAAATTGATAGATGGCAACCTTAGATTCAATAAATATATTTTTATTTATTTTTTTTGCTATTTTATTGTAGAATTTATTTTTGTTAAATTTATAAAACTTAATATTAGATGATTTAAATTTATATAATTTTTATTTTATTTTTTAAATCGATTGATTATTGATTGTGTGTTTTAATTTTAACGATTATTATTATAATTAATTAATTAAAATTATATACACAATTTTTAATAACTAATAATTATTATTACTATTAATAGTTATAATTGTTTTTATATATATAAAAAAATAAAATGTCAAATATAAACTTGGTAAATATTGTTAATTAAAATAAAATTATTACAGTTTATAATTTAAATATTTTTATATGTATTAATTTAATATCATTTCCAATAATTATCTAAAATTTAAAAATAATAAAAAACTTAAAAAATTGTATCTATTAAATAATTAAAAATAATTTTTTATATAAAAAAATTGTTTAACAATTGCCATAATAATTGTGTGACTGTTTTGGTAACACTTTAAACATATTGTATATACATATATACACATTATATATATATTATAACTAAAAAATGATTGACAGCTATATATATATATAGATAGCTGTATATATAGCTGTCAATCAATTTTTTTAGTTATACAATACAATACCATTGGCCATATGTGATGATAATAAGGACAAGCATATTGATACTAATAATAATTTCAAGATACTGTACAAAAAAAACTACATGAGCTAAGCATAAAAATATAGCGTAAAATATATATATATGATATTATATGAAGACTATATAATTTGTGACACTAAAGGCCCGGGTATTGTGTTGTCAACTATTGTCAGTATATATATAGTATTTTACCGAACCGTGCATTTGATTTGAATTTTTTTTATATATATCATATATATCTTTTGGTTGACAAATACGGTACTCATTGTCTGATTATATTCATCACCGGAAAAAAACTGGTTTTTCCTTTTGGTTTTTAAGTGCTTTCACTATACTGTACTGTACTCTCAATCTCCCTGTCCTTCCTATATATATATAATAGTATTCTTATGTCATACACAAATCAATGCAAATGTCGTGTTCATTGTGTTGAGTGTGTGTTGAGATGGTATGTCATTTATATCAGAGTCTCTCTCTCTCTCTCTCTCTCTGCATAAAAAATTGTAGACCACAGTAGCTAACAGAGTGAGAGAGAGAGAGAGAGAGAGAGAGAGAGAGAGAGAGAGAGAGAGAGAGAGAGAGGATATGGAGGTTGATTAGGGGGAGGTTGACATATAGAGGAACGGGATGTCAATATATTATATCATACATACATTTATATAACTTACAGTATATATACAATACTGTATATATCTCGACAATAGACATACAGTATAAACAACATTATATAACATAAACTTAAGTCTAGTTCTCAAATAAAAATGTCAATTGCTTTGACACTAAACACTTATATATATATAATATATATACACTTTTTCCTCGTCGTCGACATACATAAGCGACAGCACAATGATATGCATGTCATACACACCACTACTCTCTCACTCACCCGCTCTCTTGACATAACAATACTTACTTACCGGTACTTATATATTATATAATGTATAGTACTATGAAGTATTCAAAAAAAAATACCGGTGCCATTCAAACTGTCAATCATTTTTTTTGTTGTTGGGTGAATAGATGTCAAGCGCCCCATATTAATGATGCTAATGTTTGATGGACAGCAAGATTTTTATACATGTGTGTGATGTTATATATACTGTAAGGATAGAGAGGTGGTGGTGGGGAGGAAAGCCATGTGAAAAATTGTGTGCTTATATGTATTATTTGATAATAATGCCCATGTTTGATATGCATGTCTAACACAACACAACGAAACAAATCAGTTTATTTTTTTTTGTATAATACCATTGAAAGTGTCAATCAAATACTAGAATATAAATTTTTAGAGAGAGAGCGAGAGCACCGGGTGTTTATATATGTATATATATATAAGTGCATTGATAGGTTGACCCCATGTCATACAATTTATGTATGTGCTTATGAAAAAAATGTAGATGTGATGTATGTATGTGATTGTATGTCAAAATCATTGATACTGGAAGATACTGTAGAGAGAGAGAGAGAGAGAGAGAGAGAGAGAGAGAGAGAGAGAGAGAGAGAGAGAGAGACAGGCTGTTCACAGGGCTGTTATGTTTCTCCCCCCCCCTCATGAAATGATGAATGAATGACATGTAATTCATTGTCAAAACATGTATAAAATCAAATCCTATCCTAAATTTGATGCCTTTTCGCTCACCATTTAGTTAGTGAGTGATTGAATGAATAGATGAAAGAGAGAGAGAGAGAAAGAGAGAGAGAGAGAGAGAGAGAGAGAGAGAGAGAGAGAGAGAGAGAGAGAGAGAGAGAGAGAGAGAGAGAGATTGTACTGAATATGCGATTAAATTTATTTATGATATTCACAGATAAAGATTGTTATCTATTATCATAAATATATATTTATTTATTTGATATATAATTCAATGCCTTATCTCCTCACCCCACCCCACTACTACCCCTACCCTACCCCCCCCCATATATACATACTGTACAATACATCATACACTTTGTGGCTAAAAGCTTAGCATATATTATAAAAATATATATACAATATCCAACAAATTATATCATATCACACATACTGTACCATACAATACACACAAATAAATGATAGTGAATGAGAGATTGCAAACAACAATAGGGATGCACAGGGATGAGAGGGGCACCAGAGGGTTTTCATAGTCGATATGTTGTTTTGTATAGGGAGGGGGGTATTAAGTGTAAGTGTAACAACCAATAAATCATTTTATTTTGTCAATTCATATATGAGAAGCGCGTAACAAATAATTTATTTCTCTAAATAAGTTAGACTACACTGTCTCCCAGCTCCGGGATATGTATGTATGTGGACATCCCATTGATTGTCATTATATTATTGAAATATTTATAATCTAAACAAATCATTTGGAAATCATAACCAAACACAATATATATAATATAACTTTATATCTATGTTTGAACAGTTAGTTAGTTTGTATAAATTTATTTTGTTGTTGTTGTTGCTGTCTGTTGGGTACATCATTTAGGATAGTAATACCATTATCTCCCTGTGCTGTGTACTACAGTATATGTCTCATTCATTTAGAGTCAAACATTAATTTATATATAGAGATAGACAAACATAATAAGCACTCTCTCTTCCCATAGTTTTTTTTTGTGGACAAATTTGAAGAGAGAGAGAGAGAGAGAGAGAGAGAGAGAGAGAGAGAGAGAGAGAGAGAGAGAGAGAGAGAGAGAGAGAGACCAACCATTGTTTGATGGATAAGCTCACTCACTATTCAATGAGAACCGTTAGCTGCTGCTTATAGGATAGGATGATCAATATGCCTGTGCCGACCGTCCGTCCATCAGAACCCATAGTTTTTTTTATATATATATATAAATACAATTTCATTTGACACACACACACATGCATTGTTAAGTCCTAATAACATTAACATTAGTACAACAAATAATTTGGTTGTAGACCT